GATTTATCGCGGAATACTCGCGAGTACGGTATAAGTGTAATTAATACGCGGAAAAACATAACGGGTAAGCGATAAGCAACGAGAGACCGCGGTAGGGCAGCTGAGAATCGACACAATGGCCGCTGGTCTGGGTCTGAGCAGCTATTAGATAGTATTGTTAATTCGCCGTGTCGCTGACATTTCATTTGCGGCCGTACAATGGGACCCGAGTACGCGGTGTCCGCGCCTCGTCGCGTCCGATTTCCATTTTCCGCAGAAAAATGACGAATATTAATTTTCCCGCATGGCGATAGCGTTTTCCCGGCGACCTACCTTAGAAATCAAACGCGCCACTCGAATATACGAATTTTTAGGTTAAAACTCGCTTAATGTCCAGATGTGCGAATGTAAATAGAAATAAAAGGAAGGGACTATGGGAACGATGCTTCCATGAAGACCAGAGTCTCGTTGCCAACATATCGTTGGATGACCAAGGGTACATTGACTCTTAACGCTAGGTTTACGGACGCAATCTGTATACCTATTTCTAAGGACACCTGTCAAATTGACAGGTAAAGGAAACCACGTGCTTTCTTTTTTTTTACGATTAGATTAATTTAAAAACAATTATATATTATATTAACAGTCTTAATATAAGTTAACTAAATCTGTTACCATCGTATAATTGCAGCAACCATTCCGTCAAATTGACGGGTTCCGTAAATCTAGTGTTAATCACTGTAAGGACCTAATAATGCTGATAAAAGCAGGCCAGTGTAAGAGTTTAAAACATTTTACTCGTTTCTACCTTGACTAAGGGTCAATGGTCATTTTCATGTGCTAATGGTTACACAGATTTTTAAATATATATGTGTTGATATGATAAAGGAGCGATGTCTATAAGAAAGGGACGAGTAGAACAAGTACACATGGAATGGCAATATCTAACGAATTCAGGTTATCGTGATAGAAGAGTATGCATGTAATGATTGAGGTGTCGTGTGAATTGTGTATGTTTATGTATTGTACGAAAGAAAAAAGAAGAAAATGAAAGTGATTTGGCATAGGTTAGTTGCAATTGAGTTTTAACCCTTTGCGCTCGAGAGGCGCCCTTCAGTCACCATTTGATAAAATTTCGAAGCTCGATGTTCATTAATATGTCAAATTTCAGATAATGTAACGATGTAAGAGGTATCGTCAGCTTTGTAACAGAAAACCTTTAAATCCCTCTTTTTCTTTAGCCAAAAAATTGTCGAGTGCAAAGGGTTAATAGTGAGAAGATGTGTGAGCATGTGATTGTGATAAATTAATTATATTTAAACTTAACATTTGCGTTTGATAATCTTAGTAATTAAATAAAGAAATGTTCCTATTGTTATTAATATTTCATCCACCACTAACATTTCACCCCTCAAAAAAGTAAGAATATATAAGTATCTCTGAAACTATATTGTAGAGATTTGAATGGTGGTTGGTAAATAAAACTACTATTTATTAATTAACAATAAGAATAGATGATTAACAATATGTGTGTGACGATTAAGCATACGAATCTATATCATCTACAACTTAAAACTACAACTCAATTCAACAACAAAATGACAACTCAGCCAGTTACAACTTGTTAGAACGAGTGCGTGATTGTTAGGGAAACAGCAGTACGTATGTATATGTGTTCGCCACTAGGCCAAGCATGTGCCTGCTCTCACTACTGACTTCATACAATGTAGCAGTATGGCCTTCCAGAACGTTCTATCGGTACGATGCCGATCTTCTCTTTTTAAGAAGCAGAGTCCGCAGTCAGTCAGTCGTCGCCTTCGTCGGTAGTGAGAGCCAGCACATGCTGTCAGGATACAATTTAACACAACTAAAATACAACTAAAGAACTAATAAACCCTCTCTACACAACTCTGTTGTGATCACTGCTAAGGCTGTCCCTAAGACTCTCTTCCAATCACTCTTCCCATGGACTGTTCACTAACCACTTTTGCCTTCTTTTACGTTTTTCAAAAGCCTCTTCCAACATGACCAAACATGGTCATGCTAAGGGCCTGACGCATCTCGCTGGGATTTTTCCGACCGATCAGGCCCTCGAATCCTCGATGACTTTCTAAGCTAAAGTTACCTATACACGAGGTCGAAATCCTGCGATACTACAATACGAAGTCAATTATTTTTCTCGTATTGTATATAGAAGCGAAATCCGAAATATATCACAAAAAGTTTCCCGTTTTTCATACAAGCTTTTCCGAACGATAAAAGATGGCAATCGAAAAGACGACTTGCATGCTGAAATAAGGAACGAGAAAATCCTAATTATTTGGTAAAAATTTTGCTAGAAACGTCCTCTCGAGGATTCATCTCGCGGCCATTGTGATACCAGGACTACAGCGTGGCGTGTACCTTGCACGAAATTTTCCTGTAATTTCCGATGCGAATAGAGTGGAAATTCGGGAAATCGATAAAATTTTCGCGCACGTCGCGGCTGGGATCTCCATATTCAAGAATCGCGTTCGGTTACGTCTCTCGTTCGCTCGTGCATAGCGCTGTCGTAATTGTGTATTACCACGACCAAAGTGCCACTCGGCTGCGACTAGCATCTCGACGCTGCTCGTCTGCCAATGTGCAGTGGAAAAATTTAAATTTTACGGCTCGAGATTCGGAGACGATGCGCGCGGAACTGCGCGTATTGCCTTCCCCTCTCTCTC